ACACATACACTGCATCCCTGACATACACTGCCCCCCCTACTCACACACTACAACCTTCACACACACACTGCTCACACACACACACACTGCACCCCTTACACATTGCACCACTCACACACACCACTGCTCCTATGCCCTACTACCGCCCCATTTCCCAGCAGACCTCAGGTAAGTTGTCAAACTGTTCTTAAACGGTTTGACTACTTACTCTAGGAGGGGGTCCCGGCACTATTGACACCATAACCACTACACTGAGCTGTAGTAGTTATTGTGTCTGGATTATTTCTTTAAATAATCTACAAGTGCCCCTCCCGAGATCAGGCTCTGGATCCGCCACTGGTCATAACCCGGATCACTGCAAGGCACACGAGGGAGAAGAGCAGGGAGATTACAGCTCCCTCCCTCTGCACTCCATTACCCGGCCGCTCCCCTCCCTCCCTCAGCAATAAAAGAGCCGACCGCCCCCCCTCAGCTTTCCATGAGCCAGAAACCCGCCTTCCTCAGCAATACATGAGCCAGCCTGTCTCAGTCTTCAGTGATCCAACTTGCCCGCGTCTGCTCTCAGGCATCCGATCACCTCGGGGGCTCAACAGGCCCACAAATCCCAGGCGCCAGGACAAATTTCCTGGTCATCATGGTGACCTGGGATTTGTCAAACCCTGCGGGCTATCCTCTCTTTGGTGGGGAAGAAGAAGAATCCTCACAATCACATCTCTTGCGGTGGGTAGGTGTTTCGGTCTCCTTAGACGATGGGCCCTATCCATAAGGAGCTGGTCTGGAAGTATTTCAGGGGTGAGCGATTGGAACAAGTCCAGACTGTAGTTATTCAGGTCTGTGTTTGACACATATTCAGGTATGCCGCATAACCAGCACAATCTTATTTACTCAACCCCTTTTTTGAAGCTACCACCGTGGTTAGCGGACATATATACCGCTTGGCGGGCAGATCGGTGTGCTTCACTAGCCTGGCATGTGGTGTGGCGAACAGGGTAAGTTTGCTTTGGTCTTTTTCCAGAGTTAGGGGTCCAACTGCAGCACCCTTAGCCCTTTCATATTTGCGTGGTGGGTTCTAGAGCTCCCTGCCCCTGGGTATTGCACCTTTATTGTCCATATTAATTGCGGTTATGGATATTTATTTCTGACTCCAGATCTCTACAGTGAAGGGGCCCCACACTGGGGGTACTTTTACTATTTACATGAACTTTTGAGTCCTTCAGCTTCATACTTAAAGGACCACTCTAGGCACCCAGACCACTTCAGCTTAATGAAGTGGTCTGGGTGCCAGGTCCAGCTAGGGTTAACCCATTTTTTCATAAACATAGCAGTTTCAGAGAAACTGCTATGTTTGTGAATGGGTTAAGCCTTCCCCTATTTCCTCTAGTGGCTGTCTCATTGACAGCCACTAGAGGCGCTTGCGTGCTTCTCACTGTGATTTTCACAGTGAGAGCACGCCAGCGTCCATAGGAAAGCATTATGAATGCTTTCCTATGTGACCGGCTGAATGCGCGCGCAGCTCTTGCCGCGCGTGCGCATTCAGCCGCATGGGAGGAGAAGAGGAGGATCGGAGGAGGAGAGCTCTCCGCCCAGCACTGGAAAAAGGTAAGATTTAACCCCTTTCCCCTTTCCAGAGCCGGGTGGGAGGGGGACCCTGAGGGTGGGGGCACCCTCAGGGCACTATAGTGCCAGGAAAACGAGTTTGTTTTCCTGGCACTATAGTGGTCCTTTATATATGTATTGATTCTATTTTATGTTTGTTGTATCCATTCACCTCACAACATATGGTACAGATGTTACAGATTTGTGTCTCTCCTGCGGGCCAATACTCTGAGAGGTGTACGATTTTAATTTAAAATAAAAAGTGTAATTTTAATTACTTTCCATCAACAATATAGTTGATCAGGCTCTAGTTTGTATTTAAAGTGGCACTGTCATGCCGAATCCTGTTTTTTTTTTTAACTCCCCTCCCGCCTCCACTACATCTAACTAAGTCACCCCCAAATGCCCCTAAGCCCCCCATATTACTTATTTTGTAATCTTTATTTTCTTCCCCGGTCTTTTTTCAGGGCGCCGCCATCTTTGTGCAGGTAGATGAAGTCCCTGTGCGACACGTCATCGTTAAACACCTGGGCATGCGAACGGGAAATTCATCTATTCATTAATTCATCAGACACACAAATAAATGAATAGAAAAATCAGACGAACAAACTAACACTGTGTATAAGTGATCGTTTGTTCGTTCAGTTTATTACAAGGAGGGAGCTACCGGCATGCAGCTCCCTCCTTGTAATATGTAAAGATAGAAGCAGCAGGGAGTGCTCCCCGCCACTTCCTAAGCCCCCCATGTCCTCCCTCACTCTATGGGGGTCAATATGACCCCGATAATAGCATAAGGGAGATTAAAATCTCCCCAATGCCCCTACTCGCTATACCGAGAGTAGGGGCATGTCCACTAAACAGTGAGCTCCCCCCAGGCCCCCACCCCTGGGCGGCGGGTGGGGGCCATAATGATAATGGAGGGGGGACCTACTGTACACCACCCTCCCCGGCCCCCACCCCTGGGCAGCGGCCATAAAGATAATGGGGGGGAAGGACAGCCCCCACCCCATAAAAGAACTTTCCCACGTTGTGTAAAATGACACAGAGCACTGTGATTGGATGGCTTGAAATCCATCCAATCACAGTGCTCTGTGTCATTTTACACAGCATGGGAAAGTTCTTTGGAATTTTCCCACGCTGTGTAAAATGACAAAGAGCACTCTGATTGGCTTAAACTCACCAATCAGAGTGTTCTTAGCCTAATTGCAGGGCGGGGCAAGGCTTTATAAGCCTTCCCCGCCCTGCGGAGCTCAGTCTGCGCGGATGGGTGAAGATGGATTACCCTCCATGGGTGAAGATGGATTATTTTTTTGTGCTCGGGATTTTTAGTTTATTTTAAGTTCGACGGTTATGATGGTTTTTTATTTGGCCTTTTTTGGGGCTGAAAAATGAAGATTTGAGAAAAAAGAAGACGTTGAATGGTAAGTTTAATTTTACTTTACAGGTTAGTTATTTGGGTGGGTGACTAGGGGACCCCTAGTCACCTTTGATGGGGGGGGGTGAATTTGACTTAGGGCCCCCACCCGCTGCCCAGGGGTGGGGTCCGGGGAGGACAGTAGGTTTCCCCCCCCTTATCATTTGGCCCCCACCTGCCGCCCAGGGGTGGAGGCCGGGGGGTGGGTGGGGAAGACAGTAGGTCCCCACACCCCATTATCTTTATGGCCCCCACCCGCCACCCAGGGGTGTGGGCCGGAGGGGGGTGGACAATAGGTTCCCCCCCTCATTATCTTTATGGCCCCCACCCGCCGCCCAGGGGTGGAGGCCGGGGGGGGGGGGAGGACAGTAGGTTTCCCCCCCCCTCATTATCTTTATGACCGCCACCCGCCGCCCAGGGGTGGGGGCAAGGCGGGGGGATAATAAGTCTCCCCCCTTATTTTACTTTAGGGCCCCCACCCGTCGTTTAGGGTGGGGGCCAATAGTTTTTTTTTTTTTTTTCACTGTTTACTAGACATGCCCCTACTCGCGGTATAGCAAGTAGGGGCATATTATTTACTAATACTAAGTAATTTTTACTCAGTATTAGTAAATTTGGCTGAAAGACCAATTTAGGTCTTTCAGCCTTTTAGTAGATAACTCCCTGATACCGTGGGAATTAGGGCGTTATCTACTAAGCGGCTGCAAGATGCAGCCACAGCACAAATAGGATCGGAGTTTCATTCATTCGAATGAAATTGCGATCCGAACAAAGTGCCGAATTGAGTTCTAAAAGAAACAAACTGTTCTCATTCAGTTAGAACGCAATTCGGCAGTTTCGGCTAAAATGACAGGAAGCATCGCGGGAACACAGAGGAAAGGTAAGAATTATGGGAAAATTGCTCTGACCAGCGGAAATGAAGCACACTTTGCTCCTCCACTGGTCAGAGCTGGTCAAGCGGAGGAATTCTTCATAAGGCAAAGAGTCCCTACTTTGTCTTAGGATTTTAAAAAAGACAGGAAGAAAACTAAAGAAGACAGGAAGAAAAGAAGAACAGATACTGAGAGAGGGGGAGAAGAGGAAGAGATTGAGGAAAGGTAAGTTTGGCATGACAGTGCCGCTTTAAGATCTGTCTCATATTACTAGGGGTGCTTAATATATACACGACACATTGTTGCACTTAGAGTTTCTTTGTAATTTTGTATCTTTCCATTTAGTTATTTGCAATTATTCTTTCGCTGCTGGAGATTATTTATCTTATTCTCATTGTTAGAGCGCTCACATACCTATATCTTGGATGTTTTGTACTTTTATTAGTCGCTCGAACTGGTTGTGACGCAGTCCTTTACATTATATGCTAATGTTGCTATTAATTTTATATTAATAATTAATTTCCTTACTACACTGTTATCTATTTCCAGGGTGTTATAAAATTCTTGGAGCTTGTCTGTCAGGCTGTTATGCGCAACCACAAACTCATCCATTTTGTTTTCCATGTGGGAAGTATGGTTCCCAATCTCTTGGATTTCTTTCCTCAGCTCAGAGGCTAGTGTTTGTATCTGCTTCTTGATGGTGTTTTTGATAGTGTCTGAGAATTCAGACATCATAATCATTGTCAGAGGCTGTTCTTCTGTTGTAGAGCACGGGGAGGCTGTGGATGTGAGAAAGCTCTCTCTCGATCGCGCACAGTTTTGAGGCTTTGAAGCGGTTTAAGTGCCGCGGCTTTGGACAGAAAAAAAAAAAGGAAGCTTGGTCTGCTTTTGCGGCTTTGGATTTCTGGCACTGGGACATTGTGCCACCCGATGTGCGATAGATTATGGAAAGTATATCGCTGTAGATCGATTATTTTGTCCTCTTTCTATTTAGTGGTTGGAGAGCTACATCAGATTGCAACTGCTCGAGTGCTAAGCCACGCCCCCAATAACGTACATCTTTTTGATTTTATTGTTTGTGTATGGCAACTGTTTGTAGTGCATATATAGGTAATTGACTAGGAGAAATGTATAATGTTCTTTGCAGATAAACCAACAATAGTAATTAAAAAAAAAAGCTTATTTACTTAGAAGCAATCAGAATGTCAACAAAATATTTTAAACTTTTTTTTGCAGTTACAGAGTGGTATTCAGTTAAAACAGAACAACAATTATGATGCGGAAGATGAAAAATAATAAACAACATCCCCATACAAACTATATTTTGTGCTGTGCACCAACATGAACCAGCTTTAAATTTCCATGCCAATTTACAACCCCCAAACTGTACTAGGCAAAATTAGTGGCAATTGAAAAGCCACTCAACACAAAGCTATCTAAAGACACATTTGGTAGTGTGTTAACTATACAAAAAAAAAAAAAAAGGACACTGTACAGTTTAAAAACAAATCTTACACAACCTTATATTTCTTTTTTTTCTCTTCCTTAAAAGGAGTGAGTTGTGTACAGGGGGTTAAATGCTATATAATCAAAAAAATGCTTGAATAAGAGTTTATTCATCATCATCCTCTTCCTCCTCATCTTCTTCATCCTCCTCCTCATCATCTTCATCCTCCTCATCATCATCGTCATCCTCTTTCTTCTTGCTTTTTTCAGGTTTGGCAGGAGCTTTTTTTGCAAGCTCGGGCTTCCCCTTTGCCCGATAGGCTGCAATATCCTACATAAAAATATATATAAATTGTACTTGTAAAAAATAAATCACACGCCATGTGCCGAACACACAATAAAAAAATAGGAATGATTTGAGTGATGTTTTAAGACAATATTGCAAGGTTTTAAAACAGGACTTGCACAGGAATAAAGAATTCTATGAAAAGCAAAATACCCAAACATCTGTAAACAATTACGTGAAATTCATTATGCTAAGTGTTTCTAGCAGACACTCTAAAGAAGGGACAAATCTTGTTCCATGGTTACACAGTGCCACCTTCAGCACAAAACATATTCTCAGAGGTGAACATTTTTATTTATTTTTTTATCCAACAGATTGTGATAGGATTTTAAAATCCTTATACTGATGCAGATAAACTATTACAAGTTACATGCAACTCATTAATGGCTTTTTAGAAATGTCAGTTATAGTTCTGCAATTACACCTGTTAATTAAAGAAACACTATAGGATCAGGAACACAAAGATGTATTCCTGACCCTATAGTGTTAATACCACCATTTAGGTGGCTTCCCCCCTCTTAGGGTTAAAACGTAACCTTTTTCCAGCACGGCACCGGCTCCACCCTGATCCGCCACGTTGGCTGAGATAATCAGATTTGATGATCTCAGCCAATCTAATGCGTTCCCATAGGGAAAGCATTGTATTGGCTGAGATCGTCAAAGAGGTGGGGCAGGGCAAAACGCCAGGAAGGCCAATCTGCATCTCGTCCTAGAGATGCATTGAATCAATACATCTCTATGAGGAGAGTTCAGTGTCTCCATGCAGAGATGCTAAACGGCAGTGCTGCACATTGCAGAGCATTACCCCAGGAAGCACCTCCAGTGGCCATCTGAGGAATGGCCACTGAAGGTGTCCCTAGGCTTTAATTAAACACTGCCTTTTCTCTGAAAAGACAGTGTTTGCATGAAAATGCCTGCAGGGACTGACTATACTTACCAGAACAACTATATTGAGCAGTACGTTGTGTGCGCAGATGTCAAAAGAGTTGATAATTTCTATAATATTACAACCTATTGTGCATCTTTGTAGCACAACTATGTACCTTTTCATATTTCTCCTTCAGTTTAGCAGCTTTCCTTTCATATGGTATTTTGTCATCCGAAGCAGTGTTATTCCACATCTCTCCCAATTTCTTTGCAACATCCCCGATTGTCAGACCTGGGTGCTCTCCTTTGATTTTAGGACGAAACTCAGAACAGAACAAGAAGAAAGCAGATCTGCAAACAAAAATGCATATTTAAATATTAAATGATATGTAGAACTAGTGAGTAAAATTCACTGATGGCTAGTGTGCCATGGCTTGTAATGGCATTGTAATAGTATGACATTTTTAGACATAGCTAGTAGTGCAAGACTTGAAATATTGTGTACAATATTACTATTATACAAAGCTCAAGTCATACAGACCACTTAATCTCAAAGACATGGTCCTACAGTTTTAACTGTTACAAGTAAAACACAGCCGTTTTAAAGGAATGGCAATGTTTACACCCTCAAGGGTTTAAACATTGGTTAACAACAGAGTTTGACTCGGTCATGTGATGTTCGACATCCACTGGTGGAGTGCATAGGAATGCACAGAATGCTCTCCACGCACAGTTTACAATGCACCTCTATTAAAAGCATTGAGTTGGACCAGTGACAAGGAAACATCTTTTCAATTAGGTCACTGAAGGCAAATCGGGCAGCACTTCTGAAAGAGTCATGGAGCTGGAAAAAGGTTAGCAAATCTAATAAGGGATAAGGAATCAAATTCCTTCTAATCCAGACCTGAAAAAAAAAAAAAAGAAAAATACCCAGGATCAAATTATCCCCTTTTCTTGTGGAATCTTTCTAATTCGTGAAATATTACATCCAAGATGAACTGATTGTAAAGTAAAAAGGATTTGATTTGGACAAACCAGCTGAAATGAATTTTTGCACAAGTCTTACACATATGAATAAATACAATTTAAAAATTCATTGTTTTTTGTATGGCCATTTTGAGCTTTCACAACTGATAATATACTTAAAATCCTAGAATATCTAATTTGAAAATATATCTGCTTTGAAATTATGATGAACATCCTGGACTAAAGTCAATTTACTTGTATAATAAAACTTGTGAAGGCATTTCTACAACTCTCTTTCAGACAGCAGCTGGTCTGTCTAACCTTTGGTGCTACTGGCTACCTCAAACACTTGCAGATAAAATTGTGTCCCTAGAATATAATCACAGGCTTTATGGTCTCTTTAAACAAATATACAAAAAAATACTTACGGTGGTCTCTTTGGTGCATTTGGATCCTTAAACTTCTTTTTTGTTTCTCCTTTTGGAGGTATATAAGTTTTCATTTCTCTTTCGTAACGAACCTTGTCAGCTTTTGCCATATCTTCAAACTTCCCCTTTTCCTTAGCAGACATTGTCTTCAAAACATAAATGGCAGACAGTTACAGATTTGGTAATATATATACATACACACACACACACACACTGTTAAAGGTACACTTAACCCCTTAAGGACACATGACGGAAATATTCTGTCATGGTTCCCTTTTATTCCAGAAGTTGTGTCCTTAAGGGGTTAAATGAACTGTATTCATGAACAAAAATGCATATTCTTGACCCCCCTATACCTCACCCCCCAACAGTAAACCTACGGTCACTAAATGTTTTTTTCCCTAAATATAGTGTAAAAATGTGCTTTAGAAGTACCTTTGTTAATCTCTCACCAATGGACATGTTCCAGTGATTCTCTAAGAATCAGTAATCACACATCTTACTGGGCATGCCTGAGCTGAGTGAAGCAATTTGCATCACTAAACACATGACCACAATGCTTGCCTAAGCCTCTTCGACATCCTCGGCATTCAGACACTAGAAATTGGATACCACATTTGACACACACGTTTGCTCACCACATTAGGTATCATATAGTGTCCTAGGTTTATAATAAATAAATATAAAGAGACAGACAAATTCAAATAACTACAGGGCTTTGTGTTATCTTTCTCTATCTATGGAGGTTGTTTAACAGGAGCTGGAGGGGAAGGGGTTAACAGCGGGTAGTAAGGTTGGCTGGCAGTGAAGGGGTTAACAGTGACTGGCAGGGAAGGGGGTTAACAGTGGGTGAGGAGGTTGGCTGACAAAGACTGGCACGGAAGGGGTTAATAATGGGTAGTGAGGTTGGCTGACAGAAACTGGTAGGGAAGGGGCTAATAGTGGGTAGGGAGGATGGCTAACAGTGACTGGAGGAGAATTTATTACTTGTATTACAGGGAGGTAAGGAGAGGAGCACATATGGGCTTTAGCCTCGTATCTGTGGTGCTGTGAGCATTCCTTACACTAGAGAAGACATGCCCCTATTTCCTTTGTCTGAAAAGGGTATGTTTCTTTCAGAGACTGGGAATGGGGAACGTGTTGAAATTTGAGTGAGTGAGGGTGACTAAGGAAGTTGGGTTACATTGCTGAAAACAGCAAAACATTTCCCAGCACTGCAGGAAAACTACTCAGAATTGAAAGAAAATAAACTATCCACAGGTATTTAAGCTTATTAGCTTTAATTTAGGTTTAACTTGTTTAGCTGCCTGGAGTGTCCATTTAAGCACTATAAATGACTATAGTAGTAGTGACAGCATACTCCTGGTACTGTCCATCGGATCTGTGTCAAACATCTTTCAAACAATTAGACACAAACCAAGAGTTCCCCAAGCCCTTGTCACTTAGCTCCTCACTGTCTATATCGCCAATGTGAAATAGAAATATCAATTTTGAAGAGCATTTATTGGGTCAGAGTTGTATATATCTTTACTTCAGATACTTTCAGACAAGACAGTCAGGGAAAAGGGATAAGTAAACCGAATATATATATATATATATAAAAAAAAAAAAGAGTGACATTTAGCGTACTGTAGAGTGTCAGGGTAACGCAGGAACTGGTGAGGACTTTACGACTTTACTCTAACGTGAATCTGTCATGGAAGAAAACTACTCATCTGCAATCGCTTCCATATACATTAAATACATGTAAATTATAAAGATTTATTCACTTTCTCTCCATTACATCGCTGATTCATAAGTGTTACTCTTCCCACCTTTGGCCATCATCCCACCTCTTCTGTTCTTCTTTGATTTGCCCTGCTGGGCACGCATACACAAACATGGCAAATCTAGTCAGTAACATTGTTACGCTAGTTTGGTTGACAACATGCCAGCATCGGAACAGAGTGATGTCACTCTGTTCCTATAATCCCTAACTGCTGTGTTTGCTATCGGAGGAGAGCAGAGGGACCTCCTGTTGGAGGTCTTTCTGTTTTCCCTTGTCAGTCAATGATATGCCAGAGGAAAAGGCTTGCTTTTTTTTTGTTTTTGTTTTTACAGTAAGAACAATAAAGATAATGAATTCCCCACCTCAAGAGGTCGTTTTGTCAGATTATGTACAGACTTTTAAACCATGTCTGGATGCTTTTTAAAAAAACTGAATATTCAAGGATATAATCGTCAGGAGTAATTGTTTGTAAATCAGTTTGGCTGTCACTTGGGAGTCAATAAGTATTACGTTTGCTCACAATTTGTGGCAATTTTGCTTTAAATATAGGGGTTTGCCTTATTTGTATCAATTGCAGGTATACCGATGTGTCAAAAGCTTAAAGGACCACTATAGTCACCCAGACCACTTCAGCTCAATGAAGTGGTCTGGATGCCAGGTCCCCCAGGTTTTAACCCTGCAGCTGTAAACATAGCAGTTTCAGAGAAACTGCCATGTTTACATAGCAGGGTTAATCCAGCCTCTAGTGGCTGTCTTCCTGACAGCTGCTAGAGGCGCTTCTGCGACGCTCAATGTGAAAATCGCATTGAGCATGCAGAGCGTCCATAGGAAAGCATTGAGAAATACTTTCCTATGGGCATTTTTAATGCGCGTACGGCTCCAGTCGGGAGATGACGACGGAAGGGGAGGAGAGGTCACCAGCGCCGAGGGAGCCCAGCGCTGGATAAAGGTTAGTGGCTGAACCCCTTCAGCCCAGCGGGAGGGGGGGACGGACCCTAAGGATTATATAGGGTCAGGAAAATGAGTTTGTTTGCCTGACACCATAGTGGTCTTTTAATGTGATCTTTTTCAGCCTATATTGCTAATATTAATATTTTGATTAGATCAAATAAGCTTATATTGGATGTACAAAAAACATTTACTACATTGAGCACTTCAATTCAATCATGATACACAGATGACAAACCGCTATAATAATCAAAATAAATAAGTAAATTATAATCTTGAGAATTACTTGCATTTGTTCACCCAAATCAAATATTTTCTCTTACGTTATCATATATTGCAAAAGCGACTCTTACCTTCCACTTTTCTGAACATTTCTTGGAGAACTCTGAGAAATTTACAGATGCATCTGGGTGCTTTTTCTTGTGTTCTTCTCTGCAAGTTTGCACAAAGTAAGCATAAGAGGACATTTTTCCTCTCGGCTTCTTTGGATCACCTTTACCCATTTTTAATTAATTAGTTTCTGCAACACAATAAAACATTTAAATAAAATAATCAGTGATTTTTTTTTTTTTTTTTAATCAAAATATAGCCAAGCAACTCAATTGTAGAATGGGATAACTTCTAAGGGCCCCTTGGAGAATCCCAGGTAAATAGTCATGGTGTCCTTAAATGGGGGTGCAAAGGAACTCCTGGTACCATAACCACTAGGTTATGGTGCTTAGAGTGATTCTTTAACTTTTCCTCAGAAAATAGATTTTAGCAGCAAATAAAGCAAAATCACTAATTTGGGATTCTCACTTCAGTTATAAATATACAGACATTACTTTGTTTTGTTTCCGCTCAAGACAGTTTTATCAACAAATAGGTTTACTTGAACTTTGCCATTTTATCTTTCTGAAGAAAATGTCCCCTAGAGGTGAAAACTGTATGCTAGTATATCCCCAGTCTTTTTTTTTTTTTTAAACCCCAGGCCCAACATTTCTAAAGTACCATTCAATATTTATTCAGTCCAAATGGTTTTAACATATATGTATAGTTTACATTTCACATGTGGTAGACGAATAGATGTAAATATAGGGAAATATATATGTGCTGAGTCAGTATTTATGAATGCATGTGTGTAATGGGTCAGTATGTGTGAATAGAGGAGTTTGTTTGATATACTAGTGTGTTTGAATGCAGGTGTCTTTGTGTGAAGTGTCAGACAGTGCATTGAGTCCCCTGGCATTGTTGCTCCATTCACTGTTAAACCATTTCTGACCAGTTTAACACTAAACAAGGGTCCCAGGTCACCCGCTGCCTGGCTCCTACTGGAGGTTAAAACAGAAATTACATTCATACAAGCAATGCAATCCTTTTAGACATACCCATTCATATAAACATATGGGCTCTCTTGTAACCTGAGAGTGGTCAGCTGACACTGCCAACCACGTACTGCTGCTCAGGCTAGTGCTTCCTTATTAGCCCAAGTAGTGCAGTTAATGGGCGGCTGGGGACTCTTTTTGGCATTAAAATCAAACTGTTTAACGCTGAATGGAAGGAGCGCGCCAGGGAACTGAAGACACTATAACTAGTTCAATTAGATGAAGCAAAAATAATGCCTAGTGTCACATTAAGTACCCCAAAACATGACGAAGGTATACATGTCAGGGTTTGCTGTACTCAGTTGAAGCAGAATAAAAATCTATTTGAAGTAAACGGGCACATACAGGAGAAAAAAAGAAAACTAAAATCACCATTAAAAGTTAAATATCATTCATAATTAAAGGAACACTGTAAAAAGAAAACTAAAATCACCATTAAAAGTTAAATATCATTCATAATTAAAGGAACACTGTAGGCACCATAACCACTTCAACTGATTGTTAAAAAGGTATTGGTCCCGAAAGTACGTCAAGTAGGGATTAATTAGATAGAATATATATATATATATATATATATATATATATATATATATATATATATATATATATATATATAAAAATCAGAAAGTTAGATGATGCTACTTGAATAGCAATTTTACACAAACATTGGACATTTGTCTTCTGTAACTGAAGGATGTTAAGTGAGTAGTTTTCCCATCTAATATGAGAGATAAATGCATTCTTAACTGCCCTTTAAAGAGAGACAAGCACACCACATGCACCTTTCATGAGTTCTGATTTAAAAGGTCCCCTTTCTTCCTATGACCTGTTGCATATAATGTCAGAGATCTGCAAAATTAGTTTCAGCATAAGCTCCCCCACTCACGCAAAACCATTCTTCCACCGGCAGTACAAATACTAATTTGGCTTTTGTACACATGGAATGTACGTGCCATAAAAAGACCTCAAAATGCTTGCTCACAGCACTGTATGAGACATTTTGTGTTGAAGCTATGACAAGCCCTCTTAATGTAATGAAAAACATGAATGAACACGAAGTCTTGCTGTGGCTTCTACTGCCTCCCACAGCACTTTATTCAGGTTATTATGGTTATATGAGATGCCAGAAATTGAAACTAAATTTTACATTGTAGGCCAAAAATCTTAACTAAAAAGACAATTCTCTTAGGGCATTGTTACCCCTGTAGGAATCCCCAACAATTCACACTTATGTACCTAAATTAAAATTACCATCTAATGGTGACCTGTATTACATGTCAAGATTTTGCTAAACACACTCGTTGGATTCATTTAATCTACTCCAAACTGTGGTGAATTTAAAACTGAATTTAGTGAAAAATATCCAAAGCAAGGACTACAGCTGGGCTGGAAGTTTTTTTTCAAATGAGCAATTGATTCCTACATATTGCAATTCAGTTTTTACAAGCACCTAATGTTTGCGGCAGTATTAGGATTACAAATGCCTTTATACCTTGTTAAAACTACAGTGAGAAATAAAGTGGCTCTGTCCTCTTCTGGGGTCTTTATATATTTTGGAAAGAGCACTGATGGGGACATCAACACTTGGGAGTGCAGCGGCCCTGGGAATGCCGCTATGTGGAGTTATATTTACCTAAAATTGTCCCCCCAAGGCATCTCCAGCTTCTTTCTTCAGCTCATGGTGCTTAATACCCATTATTATACAAACAGACAGTGAGGCACAAGACTAAGGAACTGATATCTTGTGAAACCTTTTGAGAGACATTAAGTCTCCATAAGGGAGACAATACCTTATTCCTAGATGTCATCAGTGACAGCTGGGATATGTGAAAACTAGACAGGGGTGTGTCTGTGTTTTGTGTGGGAAGTGAGAGAAAGTTGATGATGGTAGCTCATGGTTTGTCCATGCAGAAATGAACCATAAGGCCAAGTAGTCCCTAGTACTTTGTCCTATGATATCTTTTGAGTGCGTTTAGATTTCAATGAAAGTCCAACTCACACTGTAGAGCAGAGCCAATTTAACTTAGATGTTGGGTATCATGGAGAGGCATGTCTGAGCGTAGTGGGAATGTTTCTCCACAACAACCTGAAAGTCAGAAGTGAGCCAGCACTTGTGCAAAGCCAGGCAAGTTAAGGGCTGCCAAAAACACATTTGAGATAGTTAAAAGCGTTGCTCATCTCGTCCAACACACGCTTTAAGTTCTTTTTAAAAGAACAATAGGACATTCTCATTACAAAGCAGTGATGACTTATCTGATGTCACCCCCTATCCTTGTAAAAGGTCTAAGCTAGCACTAGTTATACAGTGAGTCAAATGATGGCGCAGATCCAAAAGAGGTGGCGGTGGAGAGAGAATCAACAATGACAGTTTTTCTCCTTCCATCTTGCAACACCAGCTTCTGGATGAAAGAAAGTCCCCGTGAAATGTTGCCAGCCGCCTGTCTGTGTGGGTGGTTACAACCCCGGGCGCCTCTTGTTTGCGGGCACAGTGTGACTGCGAATACAGCAACACGGTCTTTATCCCCATTATTACACACTCACAGAGAGAGAGAGCTAGAGAGACACACACTGACTGCGGGGCTGAGAAGGTGGGGGGACTGTGAGCGAGGAGTAAGTGCGCGGCCCCGCGAGCGCTGCCTCAGAACACAGGGGAGCGCGGGCGCGCGCCTCGCCAGCTCTCCCTTCCATTGTGCGTGCGTGCCCGTGCGCCCCTCCCATCCCGCGCGCTCCCCCCCCCCTTCTCATTAAAACCTCCATGTTAAAAAAACAGGCTGCTCGCAACCGCCATCTCGGGAGGGGGACACAGCTGCCTCGGCGGCTCGCGTTCCTTTAGCGGGTCACCGGGCAGCTAATGCAGCCCCGGCCATGGGCAGGAGAGAGAGCCATATCTATATTAATATAAAGCCGTTATCTCCTCACAGAGTGATGGCCATTATTATTACTATCTCCCTCAGCTTCCCGTCCTGTCAGCCATGTTACAGCAGCGGGTCCTGAGGTGATTTATCTCTCTCTGCCCACACCGCCCTGCCCGGGGCAAACAGCGAGCTCACCGCCCGAGCTACCCTCCATCACCACCAGGGACGGCCCCCGGGGGCCACGGATCTCCTGCCTACCGTCTTGATACTAAAACACACCTAACTAACTGCACCTCATCTATCACATGCCGGCCAACACACTGTACACACTGTACATAAATATTATAATAATAAAAAAGTTATTTTATCCTCCCCAGACTCTCGTCAGAATAAAACATATTGTGGTGAAAAATCTCTTTTAAATGAAAAAAAAAAAAAATGCAATAAAAAAAAAATGTAATTATAAAAATGAATTTCTTCTTATAATAAAGCCGGTGCTGGGCACAGTGTGAGTAGATGCCCGGTATATTTAGTTATAATTAGAGTTCTGAGGTATTTTATTTATTTTTTATCCTGTCACAATCTGCCCTCATCCTGTTTATTAATCCCCGCTTTCCCCCAGCTCGGCCCATTAATCTCTCTATCTGCTCGTGGTGGGTTTATTGTCGGCTGTTTGAGGCGCGGTGGCCGCTGGCAGTGCTCGCTGAGCGCCGCTCACCCAGTGGGTACAGGCAGTCTGTGCCGTGTGATACTCACCCAATGCTGAGTCTATGGAGCTCAATGTACTGCAATGGCTGTGAGAGCGAGCGGGATCGATACGCAGCCTCTTCACTCTCCCTATCTGTAACATTACTCTCAGCCCAGCCGGGCCGCCATTGGCTGCCGCCAACCCTGCGCCGCTCCCCATTGGCCGGCGGGGCTTCATTGTCCTGACCAGCGACCGACGCCGGTTGGTCGGAATGTGGCCGACGTCACGGCGGAGCGAAAGGGCGCGCGGATACGAAACCGGAGCTGTGTTGCTGTGTGCAGCTCGTGAGAGCTGGGAGCTCCGTGTTTACAGCGAGAGCCGAGCCGGGTCCAGCGCGCTGCCCGCCATGCGGCCCCCCGAGGGCCACTCCACCCGGCTGGGACATGGCTCTCCGACCTGCCGGATACTGACAACCCCCTGCTCAGCCTTAACCCGCGGGTGGGAGACGGTTCGGTCACAGCTCCGGTGTGTCGGCTGGGTTTGTCTCGCGAACGCGCTTCTTAACAGAACCCGGTGTCCTGTCAGATGCCGGGATAATGGAGTCCTGTCAGATCCTGGGATAATGCAGTCCTGTCAGACTGTGCGTGTCCTGTCAGATCCCGGGATAATGGAGTCCTGTCAGACTGTGCGTGTGCTGTCAGATCCCGGGATAATGGAGTCCTGTCAGACCCCGGGATAATGGATTCCTGTCAGACTGTGCGTGTCCTGTCAGATCCCGGGATAATGGAGTCCTGTCAGACTGTGCGTGTCCTGTCAGATCCTGGGATAATGGAGTCCTGTCAGATCCCGGGATAATGGAGTCCTGTCAGATCCCGGGATAATGGAGTCCTGTCAGATCCCGGGATAATGGAGTCCTGTCAGACTGTGCGTGTCCTGTCAGATCCCGGGATAATGGAGTCCTGTCAGACTGCGTGTCCTGTCAGATCCCGGGATAATGGAGTCCTGTCAGATCCTGGGATAATGGAGTCCTGTCAGACGGTGCATGTGCTGTCAGATCCTGGGATAATGGAGTCCTGTCAGATCCTGGGATAATGGAGTCCTGTCAGACGGTGCGTGTGCTGTCAGATCCTGGGATAATGGAGTCCTGTCAGATCCTGGGATAATGGAGTCCTGTCAGATCCTGGGATAATGGAGTCCTGTCAGATCCTGGGATAATGGAGTCCTGTCAGATCCTGGGATAATGGAGTCCTGTCAGATCCCGGGATAATGGAGTCCTGTCAGACTGTGCGTGTCCTGTCAGATCCCGGGATAATGGAGTCCTGTCAGACTGTGCGTGTCCTGTCAGATCCCGGGATAATGGATTCCTGTCAGACTGTGCGTGTCCTGTCAGATCCCGGGATAATGGATTCCTGTCAGACTGTGCGTGTCCTGTCAGATCCTGGGATAATGGATTCCTGTCAGACTGTGCGTGTCCTGTCAGATCCCGGGATAATGGAGTCCTGTCAGACTGTGCGTGTCCTGTCAGATCCCGGGATAATGGATTCCTGTCAGACTGTGCGTGTCCTGTCAGATCCCGGGATAATGGAGTCCTGTCAGACTGTGCGTGTCCTGTCAGATCCCGGGATAATGGAGTCCTGTCAGATCCTGGGATAATGGAGTCCTGTCAGACTGTACGTGTCCTGTCAGATGCCAGGATAATGGAGTCCTGTCAGACTGTGCAGATTGTGAGCGGCTCCTCGCACCGTGCTCTGCTCTCACCGGGGGGAGGGAGATCGCTAACCGGATAGGGCGACATGCTCTCTGACTTTGGAGATCACAGAACCCGCAGACTACTGGATCTTTATGGAGAGCACTCACTGAGTGATATCTGCCACCGAGACAAACACTGAGGGCAGCCCTGGGTTAGCAGGACATGGTGTCTGTGTGTGACCTGCCCATCGAGGCGGTCTGTGTATTATGGTGGCTGTGCTGGTGTGGCTTTTGCATTTAAAAAAAATAAAAATACCAAGGAACCAGATTTTACATTAACTTGTTTAGGTTTAGTTACTATTTACTTTTTTGCAAAAATGGCACTTATGCATCCACATTCGCAAAACGCGCATAGCGATAAAGATAAAAGTGTGATGATTACCAGATTTTGTTAACATTACAAAGTCATGATTTTATTTAATACAGTAGCCAATTTGCTTATCTTTCTTTAATCTTTAGCAGCAAAGAAAGGAATTCTTGGAACATACCCCTGTCATTGTGTATCACGAATTACCGACCATGGTCTTACAGTTCTATACAGACCGAGCCATGCTCTTCGTGTACTTGGGGGCACTCTTGATAGGTATACAAGGGAGTCAATTTAGGAAAATATCTGATCTTTATTAACCAGAAGAAATGTTTTATAATAACAGCAATAAAGGGGAGATAATTACCAATAACAAATTGACAATTATTAACTAATGGCATGTATAGCTTGTGCAAGCATGTAACAAATTGATCCACAACTTATCTAGAGCGCATTACTAGTTGAGAGTTCTTAGACTAAGAGTGTGTAGGTGTAGTGTCTTCCTAGAAGGTGGAGGGGTGAGGGGAGTAATAAGTATGCGCAAAACTACGTATATGACATGGACGTCCTTGCAATGTACAGGGTGCGGCAGAACCGATAAAGCAGTTTTGCAATTAACGGAGGTATATCGAGAAACTGTTTCATCCAAGTGCCTTTAATAAAATCATGACTTTATGTTACAACTAAAATCTGGTAACTTTATTAAAAGACACATAAGTTCATATTTGCTAGTTCAAATCTGTGAAATAATGGCAGAAGTAAAATGTAAAGGTGGTCTGAAGTAAAACTCAGTGAAAGTGGATTATCGAGATCAATCCGCACACTTCAGGTCTAAGTCAACAACCAAGAGAAAAAACTTTGGAAGCCATGGCACCTCTCATAAAATTTGGTCTAAACAATGAGGTGTAAATTCCTCCAGTCTATTTTACTCGTCGTGTAAGAGTGATAGATACTGGGTGTTGAGGATTATGTAAAGGTGAAAATAACATGGGAAGAAAAGTATCCTCAAAGGTCGCTGGACGCAATTGCAACTTATGTTTTGTGTTTTTTTTTTGCTTTTGTGCGTCAGTTATTTTCCCACGCTGTGTTATTTGACTCATAACACTCTGATTGGTGGATTAAGTAACCAATCAGAGTGTTATGAGTCAAATTACACAGCGTGGGAAAATTCCAAAGAACTTCCCCACGCTGTGTAAAATGCCACAGAGCATTCTGATTGGTGGATTTCAAGCCAACCAATCAGAGTGCTGTGATAGGTAAATGTAGAGACTTACCTGTCAGTCTCTTCATTTACCTGTCAGAGCACTCTTATTGGATGACTTAAACCCACCAATCAAAGTGCTCTGAGCCTAATTGCAGGGCGGGGCAAGGCTTTATAAGACTTTCCCCGCCCTGCAGAGCTCAGTCTGCGCGGAGCCCTCCATGGGTGAAGATTGATTTTTTTTTTTTTAAAGTGCGTCGGTTATTATGGCTTTTTATTTGGCCTTTTTTGGAGCTGAAGGAAGAAAACATCAAATGGTAAGTTGTTTTTTTTTTTTTTTTAACAGGTTTAGCTAATGGTCCCCCCTCACTATTTTTAGGGTGAGGGTGGTAGGTAGGGGTTCATTTTTTTTGGGAGTCGGGTGACTAGGGGTTTGGGGACCCCTAGTCACCTGGGGAGAGGGGGGTAATTTTTTTTATTTAGGGCCCCCACCCGCCGCTCAGGGGGGAGGACATTAGGTCCCACCCTCATTCTCATTAAGGCCCCTCACCCACCGCTCAGGGGGGAGGACATTAGGTCCCACCCCTCATTCTAATTTAGGGCCCCCACCCACTGCTCAGGGGGATGACATTAGGTCCCCCCCTAATTAGTATTTAGGGCCCCCACTCGCGTGGCACAGGCTGCTTACTGTTTAATAGACATGCCCCTACTCGCAGTATAGCGAGTAGGGGCATAATTTACTAATACTAAGTAATCTTTAATTAGTATTAGTAAATTTGGCTGAAAGACCAATTCAGGTCTTTCAGCCTTTTAGTAGATAGCTCTCTAATACCGTGGGAATTAGGGAGTTATCTACTTATTCATTCCTGTCCGTACATTGACAGGCTAAGTAACTTACATTTTATATGAATGTGTGTTACTTGATTGTTGTGTTGCAAATGCCTACAGCTGAATCCTGGCTACGTTTGTATACTTTTTATTTAAAATTGTATACAGGATAATATTCTTCATTCTTCCACTGGTTAAGTATATTAGTACTTAGGCAATACTGTGCTTCGGTAATTTCGGAACTTCGGGACCTCGGCTATTCGGAAGTACCAGAAATTCGTCCGAATTCATATTCGGACCGAAACAAATTGCACATGTCTAATGGTTATATTCTGATGTCATTATGGTCATATCTTTATAAAGTACTGAACAAAGGACGACCACAAGATTCTTCTTATCCGGCTGTCCTCTTACTATGTAGAATGTAAAACTCCCTTCAGGAGTCCAGCAATTAACATCTGCTGTTGAACATCCATTATCCTATAACATCCTTTGCTGTTTTATTATATATCAGTAACTAAGAATAAACCTGCAGAAACTGCAAGTCCGATTGCGTATTGATACTTTTGGCTAATATAGACATATTTCAACCTGGTGAGCCTTTAACCCAAGAAGATATATCCATAAAAGACTTATTTCAATCAACCTGGAAAATACACAGGAAAGCGATTTTATTACAGACCTCAAAGCAAAAGGTGTTTCCCCGCTGGTAAATCATCAAAACCACAATGACCAGCCAAGATCGCTGAACGGTGAAGGTTTACCGTGCTATAAACCAATTATCAAAAGGTCTGATAAGAAAAAGGATGTATGTTAATGAAACTGAATCCACATGTTCCATGCCCATGATAACGAGCCCATGAAATTCCAGGAATGGGAGTAGGGATAGTTGTGTTCCTGGAGCGCACCCTGCTGCCAAAAGACCAAGAAACGATTGTCGAACACCAGGCATGTGCCATGGTCCCCGGACAGCAACCAAGCTAAAAGCCAAAGGTAGCCCTGAACTAGGTGTAATACTTTCGTGAAAAAATTATTTGGAACTCAACCGTAGGTGAAAAAATCTAATTGGATACTGTCACTTTAAGAAAATATATTTAAATAAAGAACTTTGGCAGTCTTCTGCAGCAATAATGTTTTAAAATAATGCATGAAGAATGGAAATCTTGGTTAAGTATATCTTCACAAGAAAATTAGTAATTGGTTGCAATTGAATATAAGGAATGCTTAATTAGCAATAAAGTCCATTGACTTCAATATAAAGTTGACAAAAGCAGGTAATTCCTGTAGTACAAAGTGACAGTCTTTAACTTTAAGAAATAAACTTTATAACAAAGACCTGTCCTGCTATGCGAAGTGGTTGTAGTCATTAGACTTAAATAATAGTAATTAACAATTGAGTAATATGACATATGATATTAAAAAGAGATAGTGTGGAGAATCCCAGAGGGCAGACTTCAGTATTCCTTATCCTTCATATATAACTTCAGGTAAGCACTAATTAATAATTACAATCACTGGAGAACTTATCTTTCCTTTCATGAATGATGGGAGTTGAAGAAATATGGTTCCTTGAAGTAAGTGAAAAGAGGCAGGAATCCGAAGTTAACCCTGTTCCTTGAGAGGGAGAGTGGAGTAGTGCGTAGCCAGGATCAATGCCAGAGGTTTGGTACACAGGAAATCAGGTTAGCAGAATTCTGCAGCGAAGCAGCAACAATGTAGCAAGTAGCGAGAGCACATCAAACCACAAGAGAGAGATCGATTTGAGCCCTTTAGATGTGGTCACGGCTTCCTTTTGAAGGAAAGCGTGTGACGTGAGACGATTGGGCGGAGATTGATTGGCAAAACCCGGAAGTCATACGGGTAATGCCAATTGGGATGACATCAACATGGAGGGGTTCCCAGACCATATAGAGGTATCCTGACAATAGGAGAGAATCGGGAGTCCCATTTGGGTCCAAAAGAGTCGGAAGGGAGTAATCTCAGAATGTCGATAGACATCTTTACAGCGTTGGAAATTAGTGTGACGAGAACCAGTGATGTTTGATATCTTTTGTAGGTGAAGTAGATTATATGGTATCAGCGATAATGGAGGAAAGGCATAGTGGCCATTGTTGTAGAAAAGCATGCATGGCAAGAGCATCTGGATCCTCTCTCCAGCTGTAAATGTGGGGCAGAAATAATGTCCAATCTTGAGAAAATGGAACAAGTGGTGGAAGCCCCAAGTAGACTACGAATAGCAAAGGACCCTGCCAGAAGCTTAATGTGAGGTGACTTCTCTTGAGGGGACCGCTAACCACCTGTAGAGGTAGGGCCGCAGCATGTGCCCCAGCTGAGCATACATGTGTCGGATTTGACAACGAAGTATCCACCAAGTGAGTTCCTAATTGTCGTCACAATTGAGAGCTTGACATCCGAGTAAGACATGCCCATCGCAAATGGGAAATCTTGAGATGTTTTGAAGAGGTCGCAGAAAGATAGATTAGATTGAAGCGGGAAGTAGGTCCATCACCATGGCCAATTGTCAAATGGTTATGAGGAGGAGAGACAAAAGTGTTGTTAATTCCCTTTCTACAGACTTGTTTTTGACATTGGGTAGATGAAGAGAACCTGTTTTTTGAGTTTATGGCAAAGCCTAAAAATTTCATCAGTTGTATGGAAACCAGTACCAACCTTTTCTGTTTAATCAAGAAACCCAGATTCTGGAGTAGTGTCACTGTCCAGGAGAGATGACGGTGGAGAATGAGTGCATCTTGCGACATAATGAACAAGTTTTCTAATCATAGGAACTCTAGTTTGGCGCCGAGGAAAGGCCAAACTGAAGACATATAAACTTCCATTTCAACCCTTTCAAATAAAATTAGATGTAGTCTCAAAACTCCATGGCAATGGGAACTGTGAGGTAGGCGTCGACCACCCAATCTCTCACCTGAAGAAAACTACGCGGGCAGTGTATATCCTTTTCGAATTAGTGATATGCCAATAACGCATTTATCGGGGTGAGGTTGATCACTGGCCTTACCAAACAGTCTCTTAGACACCAAGAAAAGATTGCTTGTGAAACCTGGTGTAACATAAGGCACCTCTTCACAGGCTCCATTTTTCTGCAGGGTTTGGATCTCCAGGGTTTTACATTCCATGTCAGAGGCAGAAAAATCAACCCAATGTGGATGAGTAATCTGACACAATATCAATATTCATCCCAGAACAGTTTGCAGAGTACATTAATCGTTCATCAGAGACGCTAAAGCACTGAAAGAGAGCAATTATGCCCCTTTACTTTTGTTGGGGAAGAAGGGGGAGGCGTAGGTAAGCTTACCATAAGGGCTTCTGTCTTTGGAGGATTCTTGGGCCCCTTGATTTTGCCAGTCTCAACTGGGGGATCAAGAAGGTAGAAGTGGGGTGGTTTATTTTCCTGTAATGCAATATGAATTTTGCAGATGCTTTCAAGCTGTCCAGCAACAGTCAAGGCCCACTCCTCTTCTCATGAGCAACGTGAGCATCAGGCAATGCCGGAACATTATTGCCCTCAACCACAATGGTAGCCATGCATTAGAGGTGACTGCGGCAAAGAGAGAAGGCCACAGTATGCAAAATGGTGTGTTGAAGTGAACACGGCCAAATCTAAAACGTGTGGCAATACTTACCAGCTCCATGCTGAGCAGCTCCTCTCTAACTGCGTGGCCCGACCGCTCCATGTGGAGATACCCTTTTGGCACCTGTGAACAGCTTGTCCGCATTCGCCAGTGCCAAGCAGCAGAACTCTGTATCAGACTCTAAGGGCACGTCCTTAAATAGATTTGTGTTTAAATGGTATTTTTTATTTCGTATACAAAACATTAGCAGACATAGAACAGGTTTGAAAAAGAAGTGCGTTATTGCTTACGCAGAGGCACAGTTTGTCAATCTAAGGTAAAGCATAATACATATTATACAACAATTCCAGCCTGGATGACAATAGGTCATTGATAACATCTGATAGGGAACAATATACCCACACAGGGGTAGTAATGCTTGTTTAGTAAGTGACGTGAGATTCAGGATTGGCACATCAATAGCTTTGCAACATTATCCTACGCAGAGGCTGAGATCGGATGACCCCTGTTATTATTGAGACCGGTATTGTTAACGTATTACCCATATAGGGAAGGGTATGTATGTCTAGTGTTCCTTCTAAAGTTCTGGTATACCTTCTGTTTTGCCACACACGCGCTGATGGTTGTTGGTAGTGTCGCGGGTTAGGGTGTGTTTTAGATTTTATTTTTTTTTCTCTACCCTCCTTTTTTTTGTGTGTGGTTGAATAGCGTATTGGTTTGTTGTTGTTGTTGTGGGATTATGTTGTGTTGGATCAGTTTTTGTTGGTAACGTGTTGGGTGACTGGATTCTCACGCACGGGTAGCATTGCGCTTGCAAGGAGCTGCATATATGGTAGTGGAGTGTTCGTGGTGCCAAGCAGCTTATATTTGTGTCTGATTTCCGGGGTTGAATTAGGTAAGGGACGGAGGGATCCACTTTCGCGGTTGTCTGTGGTCTCTCTGGTTCTGCGTATGAATGGGTATATGAGAAAGGGGGGTGGGGGGAAATGGGAAGAGGAAGGGACAGGGAAGAAGGGGGGGGGGGAGAACGAGGGCAGGATATGAAAGGATCTCTCCAATCCAATTGAGTGTTATCCCCGGTCCTTAAATAGATTTGTACTCGCTCATCCTTAAAGGTACCACATCATGTAGGCAACCCTATGCTGTTTGGAGTGGACCAATCAGAACACGTGAACCTATTTAATGCCATTATAGGCCCTTACTCATTTCCCTATTAGAGTTTCTGTATATTTACACGTTTAGTGCTTCAGTGACTCTCTTGAGATTTCCTGTTATTGACCTTGGCTTTGTGAACTTCTGGTGTCCTGACCTGGCTTGTTTTTCGTGTATCAGTATTTTTGTATTCCTGAGGTCAGCTACTCCTGCCTCTGATTCTGTCTATTTATATCTTAAAGGGACACTGCAGGCAGCCAAGTTAAGCTTAAATTAAAGCTAAGAAGGTCAAAATACACGTGGTTAGGGTCTCTTCTTTCAATTCTGTGTAGTTTTCCTGCAGTACTGTAAAATGTCCTGCAGTGTAAGCCAGCCTCTTGAGCCACCCCCTCTCACATTTCAACATGTCCCGTATTCCCACTCTCTGAAAGAAACATACCTTTTGAAGCCAATGGTGTAAGGGATGTTCACAACACAGACTGCACTAATGCTAGAGTCCATATGCGCTCCTCTTCCTCCATGTAATGCGAGTAATAAATTCTACTTCAGCCCCGACCAGCCAACATCCCTACCCACTGACCCCTGTCAGTCCATGTCAGCCAACCTCCATACACACTGTAGAGAAATAGAGAGAGAGAGAAGAAAGCTCTATTAGATATTTGAGTTTTTCTGTCTCTATATAGTTATAATAAATATGACACTGTATGATACCTAATGTGGTTTGTAAGTTCTACTTTCTAAATACTAAGGACTCCGAAGAGGCTTGGGCAGGCATTATGGGCCTGTGTTGAGCTAAGTGAAACCTTGGCACGCTCAGTAAGGCATGCCATTACTGATTCTCATAGAGAATCATTGGAACATGGCCACTGGTGGATAGTCTAGCTTAAATACAGAAAGCAGGGAGAAAACAACGGTGGAAATGACATGCAATCAGAGGAGAAGCAAAAAAAGTGATCAAATAAAGAGTAAAACCGGTACTTCTAAAGCTGATTTTTATTCTATTAAGGGAAAAATTATTTAGTGACAGTAGGTTTACTTTTGGGGGCTATGCATTTTTTTTACCTATACAGTTCCTTTAAGTCTGGCCACTCGAAGTCCTGGTAATAAGGCTTTTGGAGCGTCGCTTTGTGGGGTTCCTCTTTTTTTGTGTGTGTGTAAGGGTAACAGCAATTGTGGCAAAAAGGGGGTGGAAGCTTATACTACAAGGGGACTTGTGAGAGGGATCGATGGTAGAGAGAGGGTTTTCTGAGATGGGGAAAATCACAGGGAAGCTTGCAACAAGGAAGTGGAAAGTTCGAATCAACCTGGACTAATATAACAGGGTTGAACACAGGGCACAATCAGCCCAATGGTCAAATATCACATACCAGAGAGAAAACTGGTCACGGTGTATTAGTGATAAACACACATCTTATTAAAACCCCAGAATCAAAGACCGATATACGATGGATACTTAGGTGAGGGAGCAGCAGCAAAGAAAGAGAAGTGGCATAGGGTCACATGATGGAATAAACTGTCATTAGTCAAGAAATAAAAAAAGATTGCACCAAGAAATATTTACCACATGTAAAACTAACTTTATTTACAACAGGGACATGAGTATGTAATGTAAACAATAAAAGTACAGAATCTATATTGGGAGATATAAGGTAAATGCCACTCAAAAGGTAACAGAACACAGCAAAAATTCCCAATTTAAGTATTTTCTTGTTGAAGAAATCCACATCAGAGTACTTTTTCTGTAATTAGAATCCATGCGAACATACCAAAAAAAGAAAACAGAACAGAGGATCCAATGGTGCAGTATATTAGGGCAAGTGCAACCCCTACACCATATAGTCCTGGTAATTACTTACATTTGTTAGAGCTAAAACCAGCTCTAATACAGAGTGTGTTCAGTGGTTTTGATCCCCATTTATATTTATCACGAAGATTTCCAAAGCAGAGTGATGACCATAAGATCCAAAAGATAGAATGCAAAGTGTGGCGAAAGGGACCTCGCCACTGGGTTTTGGAGAGGCCTGCTTGCAAGCCTCTTGCCCTGTGATTATGGCCCCTGTGACTTATTGGGTTTTAAGGCACTTGTGAAAGACATTTATGCACTGTATTTCATATTTCTCCTTATTTGCTTGGATTTTATACTCCCTGATATATTCGTGGATTTGTTCGGCTAATTTCACTTCTATAACAGCCAGGATACTGTTATAGAAACAGACGAACAAACTGACGAATGACCGACCACCCTGCATGCGGAGTGTGCGGCTTGTTAACCACCCAGAAGTTGTGGTTAACCGCAGGTTAATTGGCGAATGGCTGGGTGGTCGGCGTTTGTATGAACGAACACGTGGTGGTGGCCATTTTGTTTAGTCGAACACGCTCAGCTGTGTTTGATGTCGTCGAACGTCTGGAACTGTTTTCTGCTACTATTTCCACGAACACTGCTGAGACTTTAACCATCCGTGCGTTCAACTAAATTCATACGAACGGAGCGCTATTTTAAGGGAATAAACTGACGAACGAGACAGTTACAATGAAGCTATGCACGAACGGATCAGTTTGTGCAATTTGTACTTTATTTGAAGGAGAAGATAGACCGGCTGCACAGCCCAAATCTGTGGAACTCTTTTGGGCATGAAAGCCATGCTTGCGGTCGGTCAAATATGACTTCCATGGAATTCGTGAACCCCTGCTCTGATCTGGGTGATTTTTGGATATGTTGTTCGCCCAAATCAGAGCCATCCAGCAATGTATGATTGGTGGGGATATGTTGCTGTTTTGGGGTGTTTCTGTGTTTTGGGTAAAACAGTATATTTTCTGCCTGTGGTAATTAAGTTAGCCCATTATGTTTAGTAATTATATCACAGGCAGAGGGGAGGGTTTGTGTGCATTAGCCGGGAGTGTCTAACTGTACTGTATTGTGTTGATAGGCTGTTGTGACTTTGTGTCCTGTGTACCACAAGGTCCACGTGGGTGGTAAACTTGTGGGAAAATGTGTATATAAGAAACAATAAAGCCTAAGTTCATTCTGTTCCTGCTTACACTCTAAAACTGTGTGCCATCCTGTTATTGGAGGGAAAGAAGATTTGCTCCTGTGTCTGCTGTTCCAGCTTGCAGGATATTTAAGGGAAGAAGGCTTGCTCCTGTGTCTGCTGTTCCAGCTTACAGGAGATTCAACAGGGAAAGTCCTTGTAAGGACTAGAGCTAACTCTACTGTTTCTACAATTGTACATTAATTCCTTTCTTTGCTGCTGAAGGAATGAAAGCGATAAGAAAATATGAGCCTCTTTTTAAATAAAATTGTGAGTGTCTTTTTAAATAAAATTGTTAAATAGTTGATACTTCAGTAAATAAATACATGTTCTCAGAGGCTGAGATGGAGTAAGTTACTGTCAAATAGAAATGTTGCACCTGTTAACATCTGCGTCTACAGAAACTCATTAATTACAGAACTATGAGGTTTGTTTTGCCACCAACATACAATGGTAGCTCTGCACAGAGCTAATGTATTATTAAGCATGTTCCCTGTTTTTGTTTTGTGTACATGTGTTGTTTGTTTTGTTATATCCTATTAGGATTCTTTACTCGGGTGCTGTCAATTGAACAGGTACCAGTTATTAATGCAGAAAAGGGTATTTTCAAGACTCATGTTAAAGACTCACCTACCCAACCTGGTTAGGTATAGGTGGAAAATATTTGGTGTTGGACTTGCTGTTCCATCTAGCAACTACACTGGAAGACAGACACTAATGGTGGATTTAACCCTGCAATGTAAACATTGCATTTTCAAAAAAGATGCACTATTTTACATTGCAGGTTTAGAACTAAAGGACCACCCCACCCAGACCACTTCATTGATTATACAGTAGATGTAACAAAAATAGATAAAAATGATCAAATATCTATAAAGCAGTTTACAGCATAATAGAAGTACAGATTACTTAAAATGGCAAGATTACTTAAAATCTGCATTTGAGCTTTATCACACCATAAGTACAATTAAATATTGTTTCTAAAATAAACAATTTCTTCCCTCTTCCTGACGGTAGGAATTGTATAGTATTTTAGGTTTCTTTTACTGTAGGGAAGGGAGTGTAACGGAGCGCCTATACCCAGAGTGGTACCTCTGCTGTAAAATCTCCCAGGTCCTGCAATGATTATAACTTCCGCATACCCAAACATCGGTTGAGATTTGATGAAGGGTACAAGAACTGGTTTTATTACGTCAAAGCACGCACATTTTAGACACAGACCCCCAGCATGGGTCTCTATTCAGAACTTTCTAAGCCCGCTCAGCTGTGTCTGGGAGATAATTGAGTTGATAACTGGTAAACTAATCCCCCGGATACAAAGAGCGCAACACAGAAATACCCCCAAAACATCCCTTAAACATTAATGTACCCACACATATTATATTATACATAATTATAAAGGGGAGATCAAAGTGCCAATTCTGGGAAAATGGCGCTGATCCATGCATAATTGTCTAAACGCCACACAGTCAAAGTAACCGGTACCATAGTCCTGGCCAAAAAGAGTTTCGGGTTAAATCCTGTGTGATTTATCAGGCTCCGTATCTTCGTGGGAAAGGGGAGCTCCCTCATAGTTTCAGGGAGCGATTGTTCACTTCCATGGACATAATCTTCCCTCCAAAAAGCGCTCTTCTGAGTCGCTGGGAAAGTGGGGAAAATGGAGGTCCAAGGTGACCAGGAAATCTTGAAGTCAGTAGCCGAGCCGCTTCAGGTTGGTCTCGCTAATAGTGTCTGGGCACACCGGCTCTCAGTCAGGGGAGAAAAGGGTAAGCAACTGGGCAGGGAGATAGCTCAGTGGATCATAGTCTTTTATGAGTAAGTTCATCACAGGGGGAATCTGTCATTTTTGTTACACTTGCAGACATTAATTGGCTGATATCAAACCCTGGCACAGAAAATCATTTATCTACAAATTAGTAATAATACAAATAGTACAAATGTATGTAATTGAGGCTTTATTTAATTTTGCAAAGGGTTAAATCACTTCTCTCATAACTGCATATGAAGGCTAGAATTTTTTGTTTTATTTATAAATGTATTACCTCAATGATTAGAAAGGATGAATGCATTAAAGGAACACTGTAGTGTTAGTAATACAAAACTGTATAGAACAAAGAGAACCGTGTACCTCTTGTAAAAAGGTATGTAATATATACAATATAACTCTACTGTGGTGCCAGTTCTACCATATATTATTATTATTATTGCTATTTGTATAGCGCCAATAGATTCCGTAGCGCTTATAAATGCTAGACCCTGATCCAAACATAAAAAAAAGAAAAAACAACTACATTTTATTGAAATATTAAAAGCTATAAGTGCTCATGTACAAAAAAAGTACTATATTGTTCTTTGGCATGTATGCAATGTGTTTAGTCTGCAGAAATATTCATTGAAGGCACACTGTTGGTACTTGGACAGCTAGGGTACCTTGTGCCATTATTTGCCCATAATAAAATGGTTCATTATTATTGTAC